TTATACACGACTTGGTCAATTCCATGTTGATTTCTTCCTTTGCAGTTGGCTACACTTATGGGTTGGGTTCCTGTCAAGTTTATCCTGTTTACAACTGGTTTACAAAATACTGTGCTGTATATTTTACCATTTACCAAGAATCGCGCTTAGTAAGAATGGCTCAGACCTTGAGACCCTTGTCCTATCTAACCATTCCCCCAGGAGATTTCTTTTACGCCTCATTTTTGAGGGAATAGGGACAAGGGTCATACTTCTGTAACTTTTCTGCTGAACATGGACCAAGTATGTCTTTGAGTTAGAGGAGTGACATTACCCGGCTGCCTGACTTAAGAGAGCCCTGGAGTCCCCTAGGTTTTGAGATTCCTGAGAACAGGAATGGATGGAGAGAGAGCACGACGCCAACAGGAGACAGGAGCCATCAGAGGTGAGGCAGAAGTAAGAGGGGAAAGCAAGGAAACCGAAATCCTGCCAGTTATAAACACACTCTGGTGGGGATCTAATGGGCCAGACGGAGTGGAGTGACAGCTTGCCTAAGTAAGATGACAGCAAGCGAGGCCATCTTGTCCAAGACTTTGAAGGACAGGTGGGATCTGGGCGGGAGGGAGCACAGTAACTCCAGAGCGGGTAGGATACCAGATAGGACAGCCGCACTCGATAGCCAGTCGGTGTCCCATGGTTTTTCAAGCGCAGAGATGCTTTTGCTACGTGGCCGAGTGAAGAGCTGCATCCACAAGGCACCTTGGCCTGGGGAGGGGGGCCAGTGTGGGAGGAAGTCCTGGCACAGCCTTCTGAATCAGCTGCGCACCAGAGAAAAGCCCCCCGCCCCACCCCGTGGTGGCAGGAGGCACTCCCGGGGACCACGGTCTCTGTGTGTGCATGTGCAAGTAAGGTCAGACACGAGGCCACGCTGCTCAGGCCGACACAGCACAAGGCCCTCCATAATCAGACATCCTGCTGGATACCGTCCCCTAGTAGGCCAGCTACACCGCTGCAATTCAGAGACTTAAAACCCTTCTGAAACTCAGGATACCGTGGTGGCAGGAGGCACTCCCGGGGACCACGGTCTCTGTGTGTGCATGTGCAAGTAAGGTCAGACACGAGGCCACGCTGCTCAGGCCGACACAGCACAAGGCCCTCCATAATCAGACATCCTGCTGGATACCGTCCCCTAGTAGGCCAGCTACACCGCTGCAATTCAGAGACTTAAAACCCTTCTGAAACTCAGGATATAAGTCATCCACACCGACTGCCCCTCGGCGCTGGGATGAGCCTTGAGGTGAGCAGATCACCTGAGGTCTATAGAACCCGCAATTTCCGTCTTTCACCGACTGTGGCTCCTCCAGCCCTTGTCCCCAGTCGGGAAACGTTAGGAGCTCAAGTCTAAGAGTGAAGGCAGGAAACAGGTTGTAATGAAACAGGAGGGAACAGTCCGGAGAGCCGGCAATGCCATGAGGAGCTGCTCACAGGAGGCACCGAGCACCCTCCCCTCCCCTCTGGCTGCAGACGCCCACATTAGCAGAGTCTCCTACCGCAGTTGCAGACCCCGGCTCCTCTCAGTCCTCCCGCGCATGGACTGTTAGAAAAGATGAGCTGAGAAGGCCTCAACAGGGCTTGCCCCCTGTTCCTGACAAATGGGACCGCAAGAGGCAGGACAGGCCCAGGATGCCGGGTTTAAGAGCTTGCCTCGCACCACAATTCACACCCAACCTGCTAAGAGGAAGGGTCGGGGTGGTGTGGCCTCCCTGTACCTGACTCCCTCCCAGATCACACCTCAGCAGGGCTGTGTTCTGTTCCTAAACTCCCATGGCTGCCTCTGGCTGTGACAAAACACTGGGCTGCGCCACCTGGGGCAAGTGCCTGGGTCAGCCCACTCCACTGGCAGCCAGAGGCTCCCAAAGCCACAGGGGCCTGTGCCCAGGCTGAGTTGGGGGCCACTCCCCCAGGAAAAGAGCCCACCCTTTTGGCTTCTGTGACTCAAAATACATACATGTGGTTGATTCTACTCACTTCATGTTGCAAGTCCATTAAAGCTGACTCAAGCTTTTTTTCTTTTAATGTCAATTCCTTTTTTTAAAAAAAATGTTTTTAATGATTTTTTAAAGAGGAAGGGAGAGGGAGAGAGAGAAACTTTAATGTGAGAGAGAAACATTGATTGGTTGCCTCCTGTATGCACCCCAACTAGAGATCAAACCACAACCTGGGTATGCGCTGACCGGGACTCGTATGTGACCTCCTGGTGCATGGGTCGATGCCGAATCCACCGAGCCTCACTGGCCGGGCGAACATCTCTTTACACCAATGAGACTCTTGAAGAGATGTGGCATGTAATTTTTTCCCCTTATCCTTCAGAGGAAGAAAAGTAGGGGGAATTTATTTTTTAAATTGATTTCACAGATGAAGGGGGAAAGAGAGACAGACAGACAGACAATCAATTGGGAGTCTTATTCAAACAGCTCAAAGATAAAACCAGTAATTCTTCCCATATATCTTTACATCATGAGCCGTAGATTGGCCCCGAGTCCCACAGCCAAACCTTTGCCGCTCTTGCTCGTCCCAGATCACCCCCACCGGAAACCAGGAGCTGACTTGCTGGGCCTCCTCAGTGGAGGAGGTGCGGCCTGGTCTGATGGGAACCTCGTGTTGTTCAGGGAACTGCTAGGGTGCCATTCCCATTCCCCACCGAGCTCCACTCTGGCTGCAGGGGCTCCAGAAAGTGGCTTCCTCGGATGGAGCAGAGCAGGAGTGGCTGGAGAGACGCTTATATGTGGTCAGCAAACGTTGAAACTCGAATAAACAAAAAAACTGCACTTAGAAGATCATGCCTCCTAAATCCAAAATGGAATCCCAGCCTTGAGCAAGGCTGCCTTACACAGGACAGGCCGTCTCCTACCATTAGTCCATGTGTTATATTTCTTCATGTATTTTAAACGCTTAATTTATTTAAGTCAAATAAACCAAGCATATATATATATATATAACATGCCCTTGACCGGAATCGAACCTGGGACCTTTCAGTCCGCAGGCCAATGTTCTATCCACTGAGCCAAACCGGTTTCAGCAACCAAGCCTTTTTTTATCCAATTCTGCAGAATGCACCCACGAGGCTGCATTGGGGGACCATTTGAGTTCCCACAGCCGACACTTTTACCTATAAGGCGAACAAGGTAAACACCAGGGTGCACACAAAGAACAAAATCCCACTCCTGCAGGACAGACAGCCAGGCAACCAGACCAGAGATTGCCCCCCAAGGATGTCTTGGGTGCCTCACAGCGTTCCTCAACCCTCCAGAGTTAGCCCCAGGCCAGGCCTTGAATCTGGCGTCCCAGAGGTAAGTTCCTGCCCAACCAACCAGAAACCAAGCGCATACCAACCGAAACTATCTTCCCGACAAGCCTACGCCCCAAACAGGAACAGGAACACCAGTTACAGTGACCACAGGAGCTGATCTCCCGCATCCCTTTCGAAGTGCTGAGTGAAGTAGATTCGGGTGTCCTTTCAGCTTTGCTGCCCAGGCAGACCAGGCAGCCGCTCAGTGGGCAGCACCAAGTGGGAGTATCCTATGGGACAGATGCTTCGTCCGGTGGAGATGCAGGCACATTAGTCCCGGATGAGAACTGCTGCTGCTGACCACTTGGCCAAGTGTCCGCACAAGGCCAAGAGGAAATCCGTTTAGAAGGGTCCCATCTGAGTTGCCAATTTGGTTCTGAACTCAAGGGGTTCACCACTTGGGGTGCTCTATTAAAAAATGAGATGGCCCGGCTGGGTGGCTCACCAGTTGAACATCAACCCAGGAACCAAGAGGTCACTGGTTCAATTCCTGGTCAGGGCACATGCCTGGGTTGCTGGCTTGGTCCCCAGTACAGGGTGTGCAGAAAGTAGTCAATCAATGATCCTCTCTTATCATTGACTAGAGGCCCGGTGCACAAAATTCGTGCATGCGGGGGGGCGGGGTTCCCCTCAGCCCAGCCTGCACCCTCTCCAATCCGGGACCCCTCAGGCCCAGGATTGGGCCTAAACTGGCAGTCGGACATCCCTCTCACAATCCGGGACCACTGGCTCCTAATTGCTCATCTGCCTGCCTGCCTGATTGCCCCTCACTGCCCCCTACTGCCAACCTGGTCACTCCCAAATGTCCCCCCCTACTGGCCTGGTCACCCCACGCAGCCTGTTCGGTCATCTGTTTGGTTGTTTTGGCCGTGACAGTTGCTTAGGCTTTTATATATATAGATGTTTCTATCTCTCTCCTTCTCCCTTCCTCTCTGAAATCAATATACATATATATTAAACAAGACTTGGCTGTCACAAAGTAGTTTTATTTACTTGCAGCAAGTAAAGGAGACAGAAGATTCATATCTAAGGGAGGCTTAGCCATTGCTTATATACACTATTTGGTCAATTACATGTTGATTTCGACTTTGCTGCTGGCTATACTTGGGTTCCTGTCAAGTTTCTGTTTACAGTTGATCTGCAAAATACTGTGCTACATTTTGACATTTAGTAAGAATAATATTTGGTAAGAATGGCTCAGACTTTGAGACCCTTGTCCTATCTAACAAGTTGGCAGAGTCTAGGCAGGTTCCAGGAGCAGTTGGCAGTGGAGGCCTTGGGCAACTTCTTGTTTTTCACCAGGAGCGGCTGACCCTGTGCTGGGGGTACTGCCAATGCTGAGGCCCGAGGTCTGAGGGAGGCCCCATCCCCAGCCACCCCCAGCTGCCCTGTCATGCCAGCACTCAGACTCCCATGCCAGGCAGGCGTGCCCATCCCATGCCAGGCATGCCCATCTCTGCTGGGGGTCCAGTTGCAGAGGGAGAGGCCCAGTGGGAGGGAGCAGCAGCCCATTCCTGTTCCCCTGGCCTTAAGGCTCAGAGAGGGAAAATTACTTGGCTCAGGCCACACTGCCAAGGAACTGTTCAGGCCCTGAGCAGTCCTAGAAGGGGGATGCAGAGGGCCTGGGCCACCTGTCTTTTTAGGGAAGGAGTAGGGGAAAGCAGGGGTAGGGATGAGACGAAGGAGCTGCACATGCCCCCACCCCTGGTTCAGCTCCCCCTTGTGGAGATCCTCGGGGAAGGGGGGCAGGAAGGCTAAGTCACTGGCCTCCATCCAGCATCAGAGATGGCACTTCTGTGGTGTGCCCTGGACCACACGCTCTGTGCTGACAGCAGCCAGCTGCTTCCAGAGCCGGTGATGAAGGGGCTGCGGGTGCAGATGGTGCCACAGGGATGGGGGGTTCAGAGTGGGAAGGGTTCATGGGGAGGGAGGTACCTCAGGGTTCATAGGGGGCTGCCTGGTAGATGAGAGGGGAGAGGTTTGGCAAAAGGGGGAGGCTCAGGGAAGGGTTAGGGGATTGGAGAGGGAAATGGGGCATCCCAGAGAGGCTCAGGAGAATCTGGAAACAGAATACAGCTGTGAGGGAAGGAGGCCTGGCTATCCCATCCTGGCTGGCCTTTCTTTGGCTCCTGGGCTGCTGGGCCGTGGACTGGTAATTGCCCACCTTATTTGCCAGCTTGCTCTCAGGCAGTGCTCAGGTCCCAGGGTGGATGTGGAAGGTTGAGTTGGGGCTTTTCCACAAACCCCCAGGGCTGCCCCAGCCTGGGGTCTCCCCCTCCTGCTTTCCACCCACTCCCAGGAACCCCAGAATCGCCACCGTGGTGCTGGGGGCCTATGACCTGAGGCATCGAGAGAGTTCCAGGCAAACATTCTCCATCAGGAGCATCTGCAAGAGAACTTGAATGCCCTGCTGCTGCAGGTGGGAAAAGGGGTGATACGGGGTGACCGGCAACAGCCTGAGGGGCTGGGGAGGGAAGAACCTGGTGTACACCCGGACTCTTTTCGTTTCCTTTGGTGGATTAAATCATGTAGCAACGTCCACAGACATCCCGCAGTCCATTTATTTAGCCTCCTGTTGGTGGACACTTGAGTTGTTTCCAGATAGAATTACAATGAACTTCTCTGTATCTGTTCCCTGAAAAAGTTTCTCCAAGGTAGACAACATAGCTTACCCTCTCCACCAGCAGAATCAAAAACTGCCCCTTTCTCCATAGCTGTACCAACACTGGATAGCATGATTTTTTATTTATTCTATTTTTAGGAATTTCCACATTTTTAAAAATATTTTTTTTTATTGATTTCAGAGAGGAAGGGGGAGAGAGATATATATATAGGAACATCAATGATGAGAGAGAATCATTGAACGGCTGCCTCCTGCACACCCCTTCATGGGGATAAGCCTGCAACCCAGGTATGTGCCCTTGACCGGAATCCAATCTGAGACCCTCCAATCCGCAGGCTGACGCTCTATCCACTGAGCCAAACCAGCTAGGGCTGGTTATTCTTTTATTATTATAATTATTAATACGTTTTTATTGTTTCAGAGAGGAAGGGAGAGGGAGAGAGAGAGAGAAACATCAATGATGCGAGAAACTCATTGAGAGGTAGCCTCCTGCACGCCCCACACTGGGGATCAGCCCGAACCCAGGCACGTGCCCTTGACTGGAATCCAACCTGGGACCTTTCAGTCCGCAGGCCGACGCTCTAGCCACTGAGCCCGGGCTACGGCTGATGATACTTTTTCTATGGTGCAGGAACCAGAGGCCCGGAGAGGTAAAGTGACTGGGCCAGGATGCCACAGCAAGTTACTGCCCAAGCTGGGACTTGAACCCAAACACAAACCACTTTACAGACCAGACCTTATTTTGCTGCCACTCTGGCTCCCAGCTGGGCCCCATGAGGTTCCAGTCCCTCCTGACTTGGTTTCCCTCCCCATCTGGAGAGTGAGGCCACCTTCACCAGCAGTGTGGCACTGGTACTGCTGCCCTAGCAGAACGCCATGGTGGACGCCAACCCCAGCTTCCAGGTGGCAGGCTGGGGAATCCAATGGCATAGGCCCTATGCCATAGGGGACTTATCTCCAGTTTCCCAAGGGTCCCCAGTGCCACCATGACCCCCTTGGACCAGTGTCACCCCAACAATGTGTGCACTGGCATTTTTACCTGCTGGGGTGGCATCTTCCAGGTACAGGCCAGGTGCAACCTAGCATGGGCTCCCCATGGTGGGAGGAGAGGTCTTGAGAGATAGAGTTTCCTGTGGTGGGAGAGACAAGTCCAGGACCAGGGCCTTGATACTGAGTATGGAATTAGAACTGGTTGATTTGAGCATTTGAGCAGCATGAGAACAGGTGGGGTTGGAACAGGTTTGGGGGTTGCAGGAGAAGGGCTCAAGTTGTGGGGGCAGCTACCAGCTCAGAGATTCTGTGAGAGTAGCGAAGGGGACTAGGCCTGAGGGTGCCTTGACTGGTCTGCCAACTGTCCAGGGTGATGGGCTGGTGATGGGTGCCCCTCGTCTCTAATGGTCTGGCATGTGGTGTAGCCCCCTCGATGGAGCCTTGTGGCAGGGACCCCAACTTCTTCACTGGAGTGGCATGCTTCCAAGACTGGATACTGGCCCTAGCCGGTTTGGCTTAGTGGATAGAGTGTTGGCCTGCGGACTGAAGGGTCCCAGGTTTGATTCCGGTCAAGGGCACATGTCTAGGTTGTGGGCTCAATCCCCAATGGGGTGTGCGCAGGAGGCAGCCTATCGATGATTTTCTCTCATCATTGATGTTTCTATCTCTCCCTCTCCCTTCCTCTCTGAAATCAATAAAAATATATATTTTTTAAAAAGACTGGATACCGGGTCGATTCTGTTCTAAACCCCTCATTGGATTAACACTGGCCTGAGAGGCCCTCAGCTTAGCCCGTGGTGGGGTGGGAGGCTGTGACCTCCCATCTCCAGGCCTGTCCCCCATCCCCACCCCAGCCTGTGCAGTGATGACTCTAATACAGAAGCCACCCATTCTCTCCGCACCTGACCCCCGCTTTGCCAGGTTGGCAGGGGCCGGGGCAGGAGGTAATGAGCATTTCCCGGCAGTCGCTGAATTCACTCACAGCCCTGAGAACCAGGGGCTGTCCTATCTTCACCTGACACACGGAGCACCTTACCCACCTCTCACTTTGGCCAAAAGATATTGCCCTGGCCGGTTTGGCTCAGTGGATAGAGCGTCGGCCTGCGGACTGAAGGGTCCCAGGTTCGATTCCGGTCAAGGGCATGTACCTTGGTTGCGGGCACATCCCCAGTGGGGGGTGTGCAGGAGGTAGCTGATCCATGTTTCTAACTCTCTATCCCTCTCCCTTCCTCTCTCTGTAAAAAATCAATAAAATATATTTTTTAAAAAAAGATATTGTGCCGCAAAGTCAAGAGCCACACGAGACACTGGCCTAAGACTGTCACTTGACTCACAGAGGCTAATGTACCTAATATAGAAAGACCTAAAACATAGCTATTAAATGATAAATACAATGATATGAAAATAATAAATAGAATCATATATTACATAATATAGTTTATTAAAATAAAATTTAAACAACGTATCATTATTTATTATATACCACTCTATATATTTAAAATGTGTATATTTAGCCCTGGCTAGTGTGATAAATGGTTAGAGCATCGGCCCACACACTGAAAGGTTGCAGGCTCGATCTTGGGCCCCAGTTGGGGTACGTGCGGGCAGCAACCAATTGATGAGTCTCTCTCTCTCTCTCTCACATAAACGTTTCTCTTCCCCCCTTTCTCCCTTCCACGCTCTCTAAAAGAGCAATGAAAAAAATATCCTCAGGTGAGGATTAACAACAAAAAAGTACATATTTAACAATATATACTTATGATTAATATATGAAGAGCAACTAAAATCACTAAGAAAGAAACAACAGCCCATAGTAAAAGCAATGGGCACAGGATGTTAGCAGTTCACAGCAAAGAAACAAAAGAATCTTGAAGATACAGAAACACCTACACCTCCATGCATTATCCTAAATATATGAGCAAACTTTCTCAAAAAGACCATTTTTTTCAATCTATGGGATTTGCAAAAGCCCTGGGGTTTGAGAACTCTGTGGGCATCTGCCTGGGTGGGAGGGTAACTGGGACACGGCCACCAGAGGTGGGTCTGGGGCCTCAGAGCCAGCAGCGCCACCCATGGGGGTGGGGGGTGGGGGAAGCGGGGGTGGTGGTGGTGGTAGTGGTTTGCCCCACCGGTCCCTTTGCATCGTGTGGATGATGAGGGTACAAGTTCCTGCCACATGTCTACAAGGAAAAGAGACAGAAAACAACGCAGCGTCCTCAGGAGGAGGCCACAAATGCACAAAGTCCGGCCCACTCCCCTGGGGAGTAAGACGCAGCTGTGTAAAAGGTGGAGGCACCTCATTCACCGGCCTAAGGGGTCTTCACGGGACAGTGGAGACATGGACCAGGGCAGACAGTGTGTGCACATGTGTGAGTGGCACGTTCGCACCTGTTGGTCGGAGCATCGAGGAGCCCAAGAGGATCAGTCAGTTTACTTGCGGGTGGAGGAGTCAGGGATGCAAGGACACTTTCCAATCTTCCCAGGGGAACTTTGTACACGCATTTAAATGGTTTGTTTATTTATTTTTTGTTAATCCTCACCCTAGGATATTTTCCCACTGATTTTTAGAGAGAGTGGAAGGGAGGGAGGAAGACAGACAGAAACATCGATGTGAGAGACACATCAATTGGTTGCTTCCCGTACACGCCCGACCAGGGCTGGGATCATAAGTTGAAGAGCAGGACACCTGTGTGTGCTGGAGGGAGCCCGTGATTTGGGTGTCACGCTGCACTGAGGGGAGCATTCGTGTTGTTGATCTGCGTCCCTAGAGGCAGCCCCTCAATCATGGAATGGGCTGCTAATCGCCTGGGGTTCCGGTTTGTAGGGAGGTGTGTGCCAGAGCCCACAAAGGCTTTGAATCCTTGGCCAGTAGAAGGGGGGAGAGCTCTGCCCCAGCTGCCGGGTGTGAGGGTCTGTGGGCTCCACAGCCCCTGCCCCAGTGTGGGTGCCCCAAAGCCTCCCCCTGCCCCCGGGAGCCCCCGGCGCTCACCCAAACTGACTGACCACCAAGCTTGGTTACTTGTGTTGCCATATACCCACCTTCACACATGGGGAGGTTGAGGCTCAGAGGGGACTCTTTTTTTTTTTTTTTTTTTTAAATATATTTTATTGATTTTTTACAGAGAGGAAGGGAGAGAGATAGAGAGTTAGAAACATCGATCAGCTGCCTCCTGCACTCTCCCCACTGGGGATGTGCCCGCAACCCAGGTACATGCCCTTGACCGGAATCGAACCTGGGACCTTTCAGTCCGCAAGCCGACGCTCTATCCACTGAGCCAAACCGGTTTTGGCTCAGAGGGGACTCTTAATGGCTCAGGAACCTCGATCCTTCCAGGGGCCCTGGCCAGAGCTTAGGGAGGTCAAGCCACTGCCTGCTCATTGTTCAGATGGGGAAACTGAGGTCCAAGGGCTGTTGGGGTCTGAGAGCATATTGTCCCCCAGCTTGGAGCCCCCCACACTGATACACTCAAGAAAATCATAATTTTCTTTTTTAAGGAGAGAGAGAGAGAGAGAGAGACTA